CCTGTGACCAAAACTCGCAATTCTAAAGGAACTAGACACTAAGACGAGCAACACGAAACGACGATGCAACCGAAAATTCAACAAAGCAAAACTCTAAAAAGATTATGCAAAGTCTCAGATTGGTTCGGATATGATGAACTAACCCTATTTTTTTAGCTTTTTCGTGGACTATAGATATGAAAAACAGACTCGATCTAAACTAGGAAAAATTGTAAAATCTCACTAAGCAACCTGGAAATCCGATACCACTTGATAGAGGCGAAGGTGTCCCGATGTTTTTATGAGATAGCTATCATTTTCTGTGGGAGTCGACTTTGACTACCCGACTACAAACGTCCGAACACGTCGCGCCTTAGAAATCGCTAAACCAACTTCCGAGGGGTTATTGACCACGCCGGAGCACGATCAACCTGACCACCAGGGTCTATTTCCTGCGAGCAAATGAAGAACAAGCAAGAAACTGATATTGCAAGCTGGATATTGTGATTGCAAGAGGAAAGCTTTATTGATGAAAGTGGGGTTTTGTGACGTCTTGGTCTGGTCGCTGAACACAAACGAAATACATGAAGTTGCAGCTATGGTGAATTTTTAATCTAAACGACGCCCTAAGGGTTGTATATATGAAGGAGTAGGGGGAATTTCTTGGCCCTTGTAGGAGGGGTCTAAAACCAACCCTAACATTGTTTCCCCGCACATACGGACTCTAAAAATAGCCTATACTTAAGTATTTCAAAATTACATGGGCCTGGCCGAAAAATAAGGTGGCACAGCACCTAAAATAAGCTATGGACGAAAGTTATGAAGGGCATCTTGTATATTTCGTCCATGTCCTTGTGGGTCATCACGGAGGCTTCAAAGTGCTCAAATATGCACTAGAAACGCCATTCTGGATCCCTTCGCATGTGCCTTCTTCTCCATGCTTGATCGTGCTCCGGTGTTCATCCCTCTCGTCCATGCTAGGGCCTTCATTAGTAATCAACACAAATGTATCCAATTTAGGCAGCATCATATTCTCATGAACATTAGAATTGTCACCAAAAAATGAAAGTACCTGGTAATTCAATTGGCATGCGCGAGCTCTAGAATTGGTCAGGTATGTATAGCAGCGGGGGATGTGAGTGTAACAAATGCATTGATGTCCTCATCAGAGTCCACCATATCTACCGATGGATTGAATAAGATCATTCAGACCCTTAACTCGGTCGTCCCGGCTAAATTAAGGCTTGGGGGCTACTAGGTTAGGTTATGTGTTCGGTTATCAAACCAATAGCGTACCTGCAGGTTGGTCGACAGAAGTTTGGCGGCTCCCTCGAGCCCTGCTCAGGCGGCACCAAGATACACGTCTATCGAACTAAGAGTGTTAAACTCATGTTCAGAAAACACAGAATGACGAAGTGACTCCTTCCGTCGTCGGTGATTCATCACATTTTTTACTCCGGAGTTGGTAACTAAGACGTCCTCGGGGTCCCCTGGATGTTGGTCCTCGGCAGCGACCTCTGAGGTGGCGCAGACCATAGCCGGAGACCTCAGTTTTGGATTACCCCCCTACACCTATTCAACGTCCTCGGACAAAGGTGGTTATACACATCGCCTGCAGGTCACAGCAAAGAAAATTATGGGTATTTGTAGCGGCTGTCAAAAACAAAATGCCGAAAGTATAGTGAACATATTACCTCTTGGTTGCGGGCATGGTTGATGTAACTACCGCTGCCGCCACACATTTGAACGCCCTGCGGCCGTTTGGTGCTGACACAGCCGGTACCGCTCTCGCTGGTGTTCGGCATGTTGTGTGGTGGCCCTTGGGGGTAGAAGTCAGTGTGCTAGGGGTGGCATGAGGTAAGCGTCTTTTTCGAGAAAAAATATTTTTCTCACTTATGACAGAGGAAGGAAGCGTCCTGGGGTGATCAGCCAAAAGGGACACTTTAAAGCCATCGAGGCATTCCTGATGGAAGACTCCCTCTTCAAAATCAATCGATGTTTCGGGATCATCAACACAAGAGTAGCTCTCCGATTGAGGAGTGGGGCATCTCACCGTCTCGATCTAGCCCCTCCAGCTCTGCTCGGACAGATTAGATACCCGAGTAAGAAAGACTAACATATCATCCGAATTATAGAGTATTTAAATACTCACCATTTTGATGGGTTTAAAGTTTGAGAATTCTTTGGGCTTCAATTGGGAGAAGTCTTGCTCTTCTCCCTTGAAGAGGCCGACTAAGACAGCTGCCATTGCCACCTGATCGGCGGGTTCCTTTTCTATGGAACATGTCGAGTCATTCGCCCCATTATGACGCCATATGGGGTGCACCCTTTGTTGGAGGGGTTGGACGCACCGGGCGATGGCTGCGACCATTACATCGATGATGATTAACCCATTGTGGGACAACCACCTTACTTGAGCGGCTAGGCGTGATACCTTGGCACTTTCCTTTTGGGAAGGACTCTTCGGCCGCCAGTTAAACTGCTTCTTCGAAGAAACGAGAGAGAATTCGGGCAGCCCCCTTCGAGTTGGATCGAATAAGGGGACATCCTCAATGTAGAACCACTCTGAGGTCGACTCCTCGACATCCTTCTTGGTAATCCCTATCGGATACCCAGTCCCAGCAATACGCCATACTTCAGCTCCTCCGACCTCATGAATTTCCCCTCCTTGGGTGCGGGGGACAAGACATAAAAATTTCCTCCACAAATCGAAGTGTGCGTCACAACCCAGGAACATCTCACAAAGGGCGACATAGCCCGAGATGTGTAGAATTGATCCCGGGGTGAGATGGTAGAGTTCGATCCCATAAAACTCTAATAAACCCCTCAAAAAGGGATGAATGGGGAATCCTAGACCCCGTAAGAGAAAAGGCGTGAAGCATACCCTTTCTTCCCCGTGCGGGCAAGGGATGTTTTCTGCAAAAGCTTCACCATCTATAGAGATCAATCCGGGGCGGGTGAACACGAGATCTGATGCAGTTAGATAAACCTGCGTCTCGAGGTTTCTCAACCTCATTTGAGAAACAGAGTAGCTAGCCCAATTGCCTTGATGGGGGTCGTGAGGACGCGAAGAGGAGCTTGGGGCACTTGCCATTGTTTAAGGCTTGCTTAGCTCTAGCTTTGCGGTGATTCGAGATCAAGTGCAACAACTTTCGTGTTTTTCGGCCCGTTAAATAGACGTCTCTCCCAGGCCTGTAGGGGCATTTCTGTAAAAGGATTTTGGGCCATTTGTTTTCCTCTTACGCACAGAAAATCAAGGGGTGTCATTAATTATGAATGACAAAGACGATGCGACAAACCCCACAATACTTCACCGACCGAAGTGTCGAGAGTAGCTGAGCTACCATCAGCCGGATATAGGAGATGGGAGGAACTCGCCCCTCAAGCTGAAGAGTTCAAGAGGCACAAAGCTAATGGAGATTATGGACCTCGGTGTTGGAGGCAAGTTTGGGGACTACTGAGTGTGTCCGGGAGTATGGGGTCCTCGGGATGCCGGCCTATATCTCATGGGCCGGACTAATGGGCTACTTTTGGTTCGTTGGAGGAAGACAGGACTGCAGACGACCCCGTGCTCCAGAAGGAAACGTTTGGAGACTTGGTGTATCCTCGAAGTCTCACTTGTGTGATCAACATGTTTATCCAACGATGGTAACCAACATATGTAACCCTAGGTACCCCCGGTGTCTATATAAACAAGATGGTTTAGTCCGTAGAGGGGGAGAACCATCATCATACCCACCTAGGGTTTAGTTCATCCGATCTCGTAGTAGATCAACCCTGTAATTGTCATACAAACACATCAATACAATCAAGCATGACGTAGGGTTTTACCTCTTCGAGAGGGCCCGAACCTAGATAAATATTGTCTTTATGCCCCTTGTTACCCATCGATCCAGGATCCACAGCTCGGGACTCCCTACCCGAGATCTTCCGGTTTTGACACCGGCAGATGGGGCATCAGCTAGTTGCGTGTGTGAGTGCGTCGCTGGGCTGGATTGGCGCTGGCAGATTTTCTGTGCTTGGTTCATGTGTTGACGTCCTTCGCATAGGGTATTCACTGGCCTGTAGCTACCTTTGCATTTTATCCAGCAATCCAGCTCAAAAGAAAAAAAAAGTTGGTGCCGCAATTATACATTACTGTAGGTAACTATGAGAGAAGTGTGGGTTCGCTTAAAAAAAGTGTAGGTTGGCTAATAAAAGATAGAACTGTGAGGTACTGGCCAATGGAGCTCTTGCTCTATGGTGCGTAAAAACTGAAGAAGAAGAAGAAGAAGAAGAAGAAGAAGAAGAAGAAGAAGAAGAAGAAGAAGAAGAAGAAGAAGAAGAAGAAGAAGAAGAAGAAGAAAATCAAGTTTTAAGTTTCAATTTTTTTAGAAACATTACACATGTATATTGGAATATATACTAGATGTTTGTAAAGTTTCATGATGAAATATGGTTTCATGTGATCTGCACAAAAGATATCGTAAATCAGACATGAAGTATACATCCCAATGTATATGTGCATTTTTTTCAAAAAGAAAGTTGGTTTTGATTTTTATAAAATTTCAAGTCTATGTTGTTCGGGGGCCAAAAATTGTCATTCTACGAACATTAATTCATTATATAGCCAAGGAACACCACCCTGGCAAAAATCAAGTAAAAAAACATAAAAAACCTATATGTAGCTTTGACGAATGGACCATACTCAGAACAGCATGTGAAGACCATGTGACGTATATGCGTTTACGCCTATATCAGATATTGACGTCAGGTAAACACATAAACCATTCCAAGATCGAGATTGGACAACTCTTTTCAAGAAAAATAAGTTGTGATACACACAAATACACGCTTCAACCCATCGTAAAAGCATGACCTAAATCCACCTAGAATCACATGCGAAGAAAGACGCTAGTCTGGCCCGGCGGAGCGCGCCATTTCATCGTAGTTCCCGTTATCCTGTGCTCTAAGTCTACCGTCACCTTCTTGCCAAACACCCTGTCAGGGTAATAGAACTACTCTTAGGGTTCGCATCCGCCATGGCGTCCACCTCCCCGCGTCGCTCCGGCGACTCCTCGCCGTCCTCGCCCCTCCTCTCCTCCCCCTCCTCCCCGACATCCCTCGCGACGGCTAACGGCGTCGGGCGGCTGCCGATCCTCCGCAGCGGAACGCGGTTCCTACCCCGCACGGGCAGCCGCCGCCTGATGCGTGAGCCGTCGATGGCAGTGCGGGAGACGGCGGCGGAGCACCTCGAGGAGCGCCAGGCTGACTGGGCCTACTCCAAGCCTGTCGCCGTGCTTGACGTGCTCTGGAATCTCGCTTTCGTCGCTGTGGCAGCAGCCGTTCTCGCCGCCTCCCTCACGGAGCGCCCCGCCGTCCCGCTCCGCTTCTGGCTTGCCGGTTACGTGCTGTAGTGTCTCCTTCACGTTCTATGCGTCGTCGTCGAGTACAGGCACCGTTGCCGCGCGGGTGGGGCTGGGGTGCAGCAGGATGATGCGGGAGATTGGGATTTCAAGCTCAGGTTCGTGTTTTGCTCTATTCCTTCCAAATACTAAGTAAATTTGATTACATAAATTAATCAACTACATAAATTAATTTATTGTTACAGTAATAGTATTGCCACATCAACTATCACCAGCTTTATTCTCTATTTTTTACGAAAACATTAACGCCCACAAGTGTGGGCGTTTGCATCTCGGCCACACGCGTGGATCCGTGTCCGTTTGTAAGCGCACGAATCTTGGCATGTTTCTAGTGCCACGTAGCATTGGGCTGGTGTGTGGGCATTCACCCGGTCGCTCACACAGCCTTTTCACCACATGGGATGGACTGGTGTGTAGGCGTTTAGCAGTTCGTCCACATGCCACTTGTCACAGCCCTAGAATTTGATTGCAATTAGTTTCATAAGCATCCTGCATCATGTCTAAATTTCTGAAACTTGAATTGAGAAAAGTGGAAGCCTCAAAAACTTAAATAAAAAAAGGGCAAGAACCCTTAAGCTTGCATTCAGTGAAACCAAAATGGCCTTCATTAATGTTTGATAATTTTGGCAAGGGTTTGTATCCAAACCAAAAATATTGAACATTTTTAAGGAATTATTTTGGCACTGAATTTAAATCATTATTGTATTTGAATTTGGAATTATATTCATAATATATGGGATATTTTTTCAATTAACATTGAAATGTTTTATGTGCTGTTGGAAAAGTCCATCTAGCAACATAAAATTATTCAAAGGGTTTGGTCACTGTTTTGAAATTCTTTTGAATTTGAATCAATGGCAAAATGATTAAATAAAAAGAAAACAAAACAGAATTATAAAACAGAGTAGAAACTCACCTGACTTACCTGCAGCCCACCTAGCCGGCCGTTACTGTGCAGCCCAGCAGCCCACCTCCCCTGCCAGTTGTCTTCCTCCTCTCGCCAGAAGGCATAGGGGAAGCAACGCACGGCACGAGCGCGCCACGCCGACAGCAGCTTGCCTACCTGCCCCTCCCCGACGCGTGTGGACGAGCGCCACGCGACCCTCCCCGACTCTCTCTCACTCTCTCTCGTCCCCATCCCTTCCCCTGGATTTTCCTCTCTCTCACGCCCGAGCGCGTTCATCGTCGCTGCACGCCATAGCCACGTCCACCGGCCACCCCACGCCTCGCCAACGCGCTAGGAAGCTCCGCTACTTCGTCCTCGTCCCTCCTTGCTGAGCCACGCGACGAGGAGAGCCCCGGAGCGACGCCCGCAACATCATCTCCATCCACGGCCGGCCAAGATTGCCGTCGCCGTCTCGTCGCCCCTAGGCCTTCCCCGAGTACGCTAACCTTCCCTACGTCTCCGGTGTGAGCTCACGTACCGAACCCCCCTCTCCCCTTGCTCGATTGTGCCGCGTAGTCGTCGTCCCCATCGAGCCCGAGAGCCCTCCGCCTCCGGCCATGGCGCCGCCGTGGTCTGAGCCACCGTAGCCCGCATCCGCGCGCGTCACCATGCTCATCAGCTCCACAGGAAGCCAAAACCACCGCCAGTTCCTTTCCTAGTGCACCGCAGCCGCGTCCCCGCACCCGGCCAAACTCCGGCCGCCGCTCCGCCCGTCGCCGCCGCCGCTACCCTGCACCCGGCAACTCCCGCTGCCTCCTTTAGATGCGCACGTGCTCCAGCAACCCATAGCCGCAAACCGCGCTCGAAACTGTCGACCGTAGCTCAAACCCGACGCCCTCCGCCGCGCGAAAGGGTCGTCGCCAGCCAAACTCCGGCGAGCCGACGTGGCACTATCATTAGTGCTAATTCCTGCCAGCTAGACGCCCCACAGCCACTGACAGCAGGCCCCGCGGTGAGTCAAACCCCAGTCAACGCGGGATTAGACCCGGTTAACCCCTATGTTAGTGACATGTGGACCCCACACGCCAGGTTTGACCCCGGTCAGCTCTGTTGACCTGCTGACGTCGGCATGATGTCATGTTGGCGCAGTATTGATTTTCTGGTTTTAAAATAATCCAGGAAATTTCAGAAAATAGCCAAAACTTCTAAAATTCATAGTAATTCAACTGTAACTCCAAATTAAACAAATTATATATGAAAAATGATCAGAAAAATCCAAAGAATCTGAATATGGCATTTTCATGCAGGTTTGAAAAAGTTAACCTCACTGAATAGGACAAATGATGATTAGGGCAATTTATGAAATAACATTTGGAGTTGGAATTTGATCTTGTTTGAGCTCCACTTCAATTAACTTGGCTAGATATTGCATTAGGTGAATTCAGTACCTTAACATGACATGTCATTCATGTGAATGTGCATTGCATTGATTGTGTTCCTTCTTTGCTAGTCGGTGGTTGTTCCCCCTCAGTAGACGTATGTTCCGACGATGAGTTTGATGACACCGATGAAGAGCTACTATCTTCAGAAGTGCTAGGCAAGCAAAAAACCCTTGTTCATCCCGATATAATCCCACTCTCTCGCTCCTGCTCTCTTTTACTGCATTAGGACAACAACGTTTCAACTGTTACATGCTGTGGTAGCTGAACCCCTTTCCTCTGCATGACCTGTCATTGCCACAGTAAATAGATGAAACCCATGAGTAGGAATTGTTTGAGCCCTGATGTGCCTACTCATTCATGCTTGTTGTCATGCCTGCTACTTCTTAGAGTTGAGTCCGGTCTGATTCATCGGGAATGAATTGGAACGTGGTGAACATGTCCTACCGTTGAGAGCTAAGTGTGTGAACACGATTTGGTAAAGGTAGCGGTGAGAGGCCATGTAGGAGTACATGGTGGGTTGTCTCATTGCAGCCATTCTCAGGAACTGAGTTCTGTGTTTGTGATCCATGAGCATTTACTACCACACATTGGGTTCCGGTAACTCGGCCCCTCTCGGCTTATTAATCAACTTGATCTCTGTCTAGGAGTTGCAACTAGTTTCTGGTGTTTGTAGGTAGTGTTAGTAGTCTACCAAGTGGCACCCGGTACAGGTGGGCTTGGGACAGACTAGGCACAGTGGCACGGTGTAACAAGTGGTACCCGGATGGTGGGCTTGGGAACCCTGCACACATCGTTTGGGGCCGTGAGCGACACCCCGGCCGGATCTCCTTGCGGATGGAACCCGAATAGGCGATAAACCTGGACTAGAGACTTGTTGGTTAGTCAGGTCGTGGCCGACTCCCTCGCACGGCTTCCGCTTGAAGGTTGCCGAGGTACATGACGTGTACAGGGCGATAAGTGGCGAGAGCGTGTGTGAAGAAGTACACCCCTGCAGGGTTATCATTATCTATTCGAATAGCCGGATTCCTCGGATATGGAAACTTGGACCCCTTGCATAGTTCATAGACAAACAAAAGTGGATACTCTAAAATGCGCAAGATAAGTGTGAGTGCTATGGATGGCGTTCTCGCAGGGAGACGGGAGCGGATCCATAGTGGTGTATTGGTATGGTGAATTTGTGGACTCATGTGCGCCACCTCAAAGAGTTACTTGCAGTCGTAGTTCAGGATAGCCACCGAGTCAAAGCTGGCCTGCTGCAGTTAAACTCCACCACCCCCTTTGTTGATACCGATGCATATGTAGTTAGTTCTGATGTAAGTCTTGCTGGGTACATTTGTACTCACGTTTGCTTATTTTATGTTTTGCAGAGAGACTTCAGTCCCGCTAGTAGTTCCGCTTGGACTTCGACGTTTAGCTCATTACCTCAGCTACGATCTTGTACCTTGGGAGGGTCTTGTAGACAGTCAGGCTTCTTAGTCTTTTTCATTTATAGATGTCTGTACTCAGACATGTTAAGCTTCCGCATGTGTTTTGACTTGTATGCTCTAAATGTTGGGTCATGAGACCCATGTTTGTAATATCTCGCTCTTCGGAGCCTAATGAATAAATACTTGAGTCGTAGAGTTATGTTGTGATGCCATGTTGTATTTACACATATCGAGCATATTGTGTGTATGATTGAAATGCTTTGTATGTGTGGGATCCGACAACCTAGTTGTTTATCCTCGGTAGCCTCTCTTATGGGGAAATGTAGTCTTGTGCTTCCATGAGCCATAGTAGTCCGCTACAGCCTGGTTCACCGGAGTCTTGCTAGCCCAGCACTACTGCTCAGGACACTTGACTGGCCGGCATGTGTTTCACTTCGTTCCCTTGTCTGTCCCTTCGGGGAAATGTCACGCGGTGACATCCGGAGTCCTGCCTAGCCTGCTACAGCCCGGATTCACACGCTGCTGACCGACATGCTCGATGTGATACATGTATGCCTGTCCCCATAGGTTGGTGCCACTTTGGGTTCACGACTAGCCATGTCGGCCCGGGTTCTCTGTCATATGGATGCTAGCGACACTATCATATACGTGAGCCAAAAGATACAAACGGTCCCGGGCCATAGTAAGGCGACAACTGTGGGAATACCGTGCGTGAGGCCGCAAAGAGATATGAGGCGTTACATGCTAGATCGATGTGACTTGGAATGGAGTCCTGACACCACTTTCCACTCACGCACAAGGGCTGGTGTGTGGGCATTTGCCATCTTGCCCACACGCCTGTCTCATCTCCCACACCCAAGTTTCCACTCGCCATGTGTTTTGCAGTGTACATGGCAACTGCCCTAATGTGCTTTATAAGCAGGTGGCAACTCTTTTTTTTACCCGAACATGTTAGTTGCCATGTATTTTGCAGGGTACACGACAACTGCCCTAGTGTGTGCTTGTAAGCAGATGACAACTCTCTCTTTTTTTACCCAAAGATGTTGTTTTGCCATGTCTTTTTGTAGCGCTACACAGCAACTGCCTATTGTTAGTAGGTGGCAACTCCTAAGGTTTTCAAATCATGGCAACTGTAGTAAAACCAGACCATACATGGCAACTGCATAGTGTTAGTAGGTGGCAAACCCCTAACATTTTCAAATCATGGCAACTATAGTAAACCAGACCATACATGGC